AAGACAGCTATGATAACACTGTCATCTGGAAGCAGAAACTTTCAAATACATCCCAATGTCCAAAAAAAATATTTTTTTTACAATCAGTTCATATCTTCTTATATTCTGCATTTAAAACAGCATAATGTTTTCTGCATTGCTCTAGGGCTTTATATTTTAAAATAACTTCTATCAGAATTTTTTTTTCTTGTTTTTTGAGACAGGGTCCCACTATGCAGTTTAGGCTTGTCTTTGTAGCTCAGGCTGGTCTTGAACCTGTTAACTATATTCCTGCCGCAGCTTCCTGAGTGCTTGGATTACAGACGTGTACCACCATGACTAACTCAAAATGATTATTAATAAGATTTGAAAGGGGCTAGGGATTTAGCTCAGCAGCATAAGCATCTGCCTTGCAAGCGTGTAGTTGTGAGTTCGGTACCAATTAAAAAAAAATTTGAATATTTTACCTAACAAGTACATCCTGAGTTGCTTAAATATTCTCATATTTTTGGCCTATTTTTGCCATTGAAAATATTTACTGCTACTGCAGTAAATATTTCCCTACAGACAGCTTGTGGTAGATATTGCTAGTAGTCCATTGAAAATCCACCATACCCTTTTGTTGCTAACAAAAGCCCAGTTCTGTTGACATGATTATGGTGCAGCATATCGAGGTCAACAATATCATTTTCTCCTTTCTGGTTTCTCTTGTGGTAGAGTGGCAACAGAACCCATTTCTGGCACATGAGATCTGAAGGCAGGGTGAAAGACGGATTCCCTATGTCCTCCCCTGGCTCTTCCATTCACTCTCTACCTTAGAGGCCATAAAATGGCAGTTTTCTGCCATGCTCTTTCACCATACTGTCTCTGCTTTGAAGCCAGCCGAACATGGACTGAACCTCTCAAAACCGTGAGACAAATGTAATTCCCGTTCCTTCAAGTTGTAGATGTTGGGTATTTTGTATTTTACCTTTTCATCTGTGTCAGATTCAGCATTATACTGCAGAGTCCGGCTACATCACGCTGAGAATGACAGCACAAAAGGAGTCCACAGCCCTGATTGATCATTCTGCAGCTGAACCCAGGGTATCAACTGTTCATCCTCTTCAGACTCAGGTGCAACCAAATCAAACTTACTGAGTAGTTTTAAATGCATATTGTTACTCACAGTGAAACATGACCACAAACACTTGCCATATTTTAGGTCCTTTTCCAGATTCTCAGGAGTGGGTTTGAAGCAAAGGTTATGATTATTTTTTAGGTTCCTGATACATATTACAAATCACTTCTCTTAAAAAACCTGTGCAATCAGGTATTACTGGCTAGAGACTGGGGACAGTATCAAACAGATAAAACAAACAACTCAGGAGCATTTTTAAATCAGTCCTTGCCTCAGTTTAAGGTACCTTTCCAGGGCTGGAATGGATGGAACTCAGTGGTAGAACACATAGCTAACATATTTGAGGCTCTGGGTTTAATCCCAAGCATGACAAGAAAAAAAAAAAAAAAAAAAAAAAAAAAAAAAAAAAAAAGAGAGAGGGAGAGAAGAGAAGGAAGAAGAAACAAGAGGGGAAGAAGAAAAGAGGTTTCTCTTCTAATTACAGAGAAATTTTACCAGAGACTCTCAGGACACATTCTTTACCTTAAACTTATCCTCACATGACATCAATAAAAATATATACACTGTAAAAAGATTTAAAAAGTAAAAAGAAAATCTACACATAATCTCAACACCAAAAACTATTTAAATCTCACACATTTCTCCTTTGCAAACTTCTATTTCTTTTGACTTTTATTATCTCCCATTTTCTACTGAATACATGTTCAATACATGTTAATGTTTACATTTTAATTTGTCCATGCATTTCCCACTATAAGCCTTTTTAAAAATATATTTAATGTTATTTGCAAGATTGTGAATTGAACTCAGGGCACTTGCATTCAGCTACAGCCTTTTTTTCTTTCTTTTAAAGACAGGGCCTTCACCTTTGGTGACTGTTTTTACAGTCCTTTATTCCTTTTCTGTTTAGTTTTGTTTTTTGAAAACAGGGTTTCATTATATAGTTTAGGCTGGCTGTGAACTTAACGGCAATTCTCCTGCCTCAGCTTGAGTGCTGGGATTACAGGCATGTGGCACCATCTCCTGAATTCCTTTTTAAATTTTGAGACAGGGTCTCATCAAATAGCTACACTGCCCAGGCTGGGCTCAAACTTGTTGAATGCCTTAGCCTCCTAGAGTGCTGAGATTACACCCAGATCCCAATGTAAACATTTAAATGGCTGCACAATACTCTACCATGTGAATATATCATGCTTTTATCTAACCATTTCTATGCTGCAATTAGAATGGCAACATAAAAGAATATGCAGAAAGAAGAAAACCACATTAAAAGTGCTTATATAATTATAAACTAGCTCTAATTAATCTGTGCTCTCTGCTTTTGTTTGCATTTTTATGCAAGTGCAGAGAGAAGACTACAATGAGGTTATTTCCACAGCTTTGACATTGTGAGAAAAAGCTCCAAGCAACTGCCTTACCTTATATTCAAGATCTTCCTTAAATCTCAAAAAATGTATTTTAAAAATATATGACCAACAGACGAAAGGATGCCAGTTGGTAGAACTACAGCACCTAATAAAAGTTTAAAGAGAGCCAGGAATGGTGGTACACTCCTGCAATCCCAGCACTCAAAAGGCTGAGGTAGGATAGCTTGGGCTACCTGGCAGGACTCTGTCTCAAAAAAAAAAGTTTAAAGAGTCTTCTCATTAAACATTCGAGTTAAAATAGAACTACAATGTAATACCTTACATATGTTATAAGCTTTTAAAGAATTAGAATATAAATAATCCCTATTAACCATAACCTTAAAAATTACACCAACTCCTAAACCATAACTTAATTCAGGAATATATTTTCTACCATTATGCTGCCCAACGTAAGTATCAGTTTGTTAGAAAACATTTCATTCCCCTGGCAGCTGAACTGTCCCTTCCTCAGGATTCTCTCAGCCCTGTGCTGTGCTTCTCAAACGTTTTGTTTTTACAAACGTTTTGTTTTCTGGGATTGACCCCAGGTCTGACCCATGCTTGGCAAGTATTCTACACTGAGCTATATTCCTACTTGTTTTTTTCCAAACTGACAGAAATTAATTTGTTTATGGTACACAGTGTGATGTTTGGTGTCACCTCACATATTGTTACTGGGTGGCTGTCTTTCTGAGAGTCTCTAAGCTGCCCACATCAGAGTCCTTTGCCTCTGCAACCCAGAAGCAGGGAGGGCTCGGCACACAGCATACACTGGGATAGCTCACTTTGCCTAAAAGTTGAATTCAAGGAATGAAACAAATTATTTGTAATAACTGTACTTGTTGCTCCATTTTAAATAAATTTTTAAAATAACGTAATAGAAATCTAACCTTTAATGAGAACTTTGCTGAATGCTTACTTTGTGGCAGATAATGTGCTAAGTGATAATAAACACTGATTCTTAGCCAGATATGGTGATGCCTGCCTGTAATTTCAGCACTGGGGCGGGGGTGGGGGGGGTGGGGCTGAGGCAGGAAGACTGTCAGGAATTGTAGGCCAGCCTGGGCTATGTATAATCAGTCCCTATCTCAAAACAAAAAACAAAAGTAAAAACATACAAAATAACAACAACCCTCCCCACACAAAACACATTAATTCTTAAACCAAACAGGGAGACACGTGGTACATTTACAGACAAACTGTAATGGATTAAATCACACGGTCGAACATTTGCTGAGCCCCTATACATTAGATCAGACAATGAGCTAGCATTGCGGAAACAGCAAAGAACAGGACTTAAATGCTGCCTGATGTGAAGTTTATTTACATATATATCAACATTCTGGGTTCACAGAACACACTTTAATATAGTGAGTTTATACCTCAAATGGACCCATTCTTGGTACTAACAAAAATTTAAGACTAAAAAATTCAAGTTCAAAATTTGATGACTTCAAGGTTAAAGTCGCTCTATAGTGTCATTTGACTTTTGCTGGTTTCACTCAACCCATGAGGCTCTGTTCTTCAAATTAAAAGAAAATGTCTCAAGATTAAAAACTACAAAAGGAATTGGAAATAGACTATGGGAGGCTGATGGACAGGATCACAAATTCAAGGCAGATTGAACCACTTAGTGAGACTGTCTCAAAAAAAAAAAAAAAAAAAAAAAAAAGCAGGGGATGTAGCTTAGTGTGAAAACCCTGAGTTCCTTCTCTGATGGAGTCAGAATACAGGAAGCACTTTGCTTTCTTGGTATGTAAGTGAAGTGGAAAAACCCAGGCAAAGGATGAAGCTTCCAAGTATCACTGCATCACACACATCACATCACATCACACCACACATATCACATCACATAGTTGGCTCCTATCTACTATGTTGCTATATATTTTACTCACTTTTTAGATTCAGACACATGAGTTGACATGCAGTGTAAGCATGAAGAAAGAAAAAAGGAAGACAGGAAGAGGGAAAGGGGAGGGGAGAAAAAAGAGTTTTAGGTTTCAAATATGCGAACTTGCATTGGGCATTTCCTGTGAAGCAATCAAATGACTGAGGATTAAGTCTGTCTGTAATAACATAACAGTAATTGGGGGCACTACAGGAGGCAGAGGGATGTCAACAAAATTTCATTTACAAAAAACTGAAACTGAACTCAAAGTGAACAGAAAAAAATGCAGAAAGGAATAAGAAAAGTAATTTTTTTTCCTAGTACCGGGGATCGAACTCACGACTGGGCGCTTGTAAGGCAGGCATTTATGCCACTGAGCTAAATCCCCAGCCCAAGAAAAATAATTTTAAAAGCAGTTTTCTAGTTCTGAGGGGCAGGAAACTACTCATTTATTTCAAGAAACTGAGTTTTTTTTTTTTTTCATCTAACACAAGATTAAGAAATCTGGGGCAAAGGGCACCAAATTACTTCTAAATACAACAACTTCACACAAAGAGAAAATCTAAAACCTGCTCAGGTTTATCTGGCAAACACAAGAGGAACTATCTTGGACTTCAGAGATCTTTTATTGAGGACAAAGCAAAACAATGTGAGGCTGAGGAAACCAATATAAAAAGTAGGCAGCTCAATGATAAACATAAAGAAGTTTCAAAATTACTACTTATACTTAAGGCAATTTTAAAAGTAAAGTCTTACCCAAAAAGCATTTATATAGCATTGAAAAAAATACTGAAATAACTTGATTAACACAGCTAAATTATCTGTGTAAAATCTGTACAGCGGGGACCTGTTTTCAGCAGGTAAGCCTATTTACAAGTAAGAATCTCTTACTCTTGTAACATGGTCCTGTATTTAGAGAATGGCTAACTCACATCTTGGTAGAGTTAGTCTGTAAGGCCTCAGTGCTCCCACACACATTCCAGGCGGACCTACTTCCACCGGAGAACTATTTACACTGCCCTGTGAACACACACATATATACACACTTTGCCCCTCCAAACACCTGGAGTGAAGGAGCTATGGCTCATTCAATTTTATATGTACAGTGACAATTAATAGGCACTCAATGTTAAAACGCATGAATGTTACAATCATTTTATACCACTAGTTACATTTCAAACATTCTCATCTTACCCATCCCAAATTAAAAACACCAACTGCTACACAATATAGTACTTTGGGGGCTTTTTAACATAAATAAATATACTACATTTACTACGTTTCAGAATAACTGCACAAATTTAGCGTTCTCCTTGGAATGGAAAACTTGCTTGGAATTTACTTCATTCTTTTCCTCTTTTTCAAAAGTGCATCTCGTAGTGCTAGCTGGAAGATAAGAAAAATAAAAAGCATTTAAATATGACAACTCTTAAGTACTCCCATATACTAATTTGGTTATAAATAAGCTTACCAAAAATAAATCAGTAAGTCAACAAACCATCCTGAAAAATTACAACTAATGAAACATGCCCTAAGGATCACATGCAGGGTGGAGGCTGCCACACTGCCAGGAAATGTACAAAGCTTGCCACACATGTTCTAGCTCACAGACACAAAGCACGAGACAGTAGCAGCTCTAGGAAGGAGGGACCTGTGTATCATCTACCACAGAGAACACACAGCACCTTCTGTTCTATGTCACTCTTAGTGTTTTGAAATTGTGGATGGGACACTGTCTGAATGAAAACCAACAAAACAGTGTATCATTTTCACAATACTTTTCTAAGATTATATACATTCCACTAATACGGTACAAATGTATAGACCATTTAAAGCTTTTAGATGGCATTCAGCATTTGTGCAGATTTAAGTATTTCCTACAGTATACAATTGGAAGCAGAAAAAAATGATCCCTTACATGCTAATTTTCAAATGTGCTTGTTTACTGTAGTAAATGAACTGAAAGATACTTATAATAATAGGTAAATGCTAATATCAGATATAAAGATTCTAATTTTGAAATAAACTTCAAGAGTTGGGGCTCAAGATAAAATATTTTAGTTAGTGTTTTTAATTTTTAACAAGTGTATTTTGTGTTGGAAACATACAAAAACAGTGACTTATGCATTATAATTAGACTCAATTTAGGTTTTAATCTCCTCCAGTCCTTCTTCACCAAAGGAGTTCAGTTCCTTTCACAGGGTAAAATTTGAAGATGAAGAATTTAAGATCTGGAGAAAAGGACAATTTAAGGACCAATGTTTGAGGTGAACGTACAATATTCCTTATAAATAAAGAGCATTATCTGGCTCTGGAGTGAATACACAGTACCTATCCAGTCTACATAGCTTGTGATATTTGGGAGTTGGGGGTGGAATGCATCATCTAAATTAAAACCAAGAGGAAAACAAACCTTTCTTCACAAGTATCTTTTCCAAGATCATATATATTCCACTAAATATGACAATACAGACCATTTAAAGATTCTTCAATTGTCACTCCAAAATAACCAGAATAAAATTATCAAGAATAAACAAACTCGGGCTGGGGATTTTGTTCAGCAGCCTAAGTGCCTGCCTGGCAAGTGCAAGGTCATGAGTTCAATCCCCGGTACCAAAAAAAAGAAGAAACTTAAACTCAAAAAAAAAAAGGTAATCAAGGCAAATGGACAATCTTAAGTGTATAATGAATACTGTTGCATTAATTTCATGCACTATTCTACTTTTAAAAACCTATACCTTCTAAGGTATTAACTGTTTTGCTTTGTTAAAACACATTTCTGTGTGGAAATTGCTTGCCTCTACCTCTAAATGTTCAACCTTTTTGGATTTTTGATTCCTTTCCTTTAGCTTATGCCTGGACCTTGATTATCTTTGTAGACAGACAGGCAAAACAGGATACCTAAAGTCAGTGAATTTCTTTTAACCTAATTTGGCTAAGGAGGTATTACTAGACTCAGTTAAAAGGGTAATTGCCAATAAGTGCTTTACTCAGAGTACCTTCTGTTGTATACTGGTTGTAAAAGGAAAAAAAATATAAAAGAGAAACTATTCTTTTTAAAACTCTTTTCTTTTGAAACTGCCTAGCTCTGTAACTGCTTCATGACTTTGTAATTACTTTAAGCCCCGTAACTACGAGAGCAAAACTGAACATACAAGATGTCTGATTGTACCACTGCACCAAACTTCATAACTGATGATCATTAATGTCCCTTTGCAACCAATAATCTCACCCTACTAGCTAATCAGAAGAATTACCAGACTGTTCTGTCTCACCTTTTATACCTCCTTCATCCCTCCTGTTTGTGTATCATATAAAAGTCCTGGAACACCAGAAATTGGGGCCTGATATTCTGGAAATGATCCCAATCAGTGGCTGTCAATATAAATAAACAGCCTCCAAATCCTTGGTGTTCTTCCCTTTCAAATGCCACCAACTGCTGAACATAAAACACAGTATATTCTCCCTCCTCTTCCTTTAACTTCCTAAAAGTTCCACCACAAGAAGCTCTCCTCCTCTATCATATGCTTTACTGCCCTCTCCTTGTCATCCAAAGTCACTTCTTACAGCCGCACAAGATCCTGTAAAATGTCACCAAGGGGGAAAGGTGATGTGAAGTGTAATGCTTCTTTCCCTGATAGCCCATGAGGACACAGGGCATTTTGAAGGATGTGGTGGAGTTGCACTTTTTATCAGGGAAGCCATTAACCACACATGGCTATGGAGCATCTGGAAAAGTGCCTAAGCTTAGTTTGGTAGCACACACTAAAGCTGGCCTAATGGAGACCTGCCTGAAAGGTGGCTAGTTCAAACTGAGACATGCTTTGGTGTGAAAGAAATTCTATTTCAGATGGCTCAAAAACAAGAACATAAAATATCTCATGAATAATGTTTATATTGACTATGTGTTAGAATGATAGCATTTTGCTGTAGTATACTAAATAAGATGTTATTTAAAATAATTTTATCAGCTTGACATCGTGGTATAAGGCTGAGGAAGGGGGATCACAAATTCAAGCCATCCTGGGCAACTTAGCAAGACCCTGTCTCAAAACTAAAAAAGGGTTACGACTGCAGCTTAGTGAGACAGCCTTGGGTTCAATCTCTAGTACTACAAAACAAACACAGATACACACTTTAATCTTTCCAAGAGATGTCATGAGTTGCTAACAAGGAACAAAACAGGTTTCTCTACCATGGCAAAAAGGTAAACTACAAGTAGGGACCAGGGGCAAACTGTTAACTAAAATGTAGCAAGGTCACATAAACCTCATAATGAAGCAAGACCTTGGCTACTAAAATGTCATTAAAGGTCAAAATAGGATAGATTAATGGCAAAATTAATACTGTGGCGTTTACATGATATACTGAACACAGTTAAGATTATAAAACCATTCAGGGAACCAGAATTACCACCCACACAGACACAGTGCTGCCCTGGGGCACAAATCACTTCCTTCTGCGGGCTGGCGCTTGGCCAGCTATTTAGGGACACTGCCTCAGAACACAGGACTGTGTCAGCATAGAGCTGATTTCCTGGAGTTCCTTCAAAATGACAGTTTGTATACTCTGATGCATTCCCAGGGGAGGGAGATAAACAGATCAACTTAGTTTTCTACAATGAATTAAACAAAAGAAATAAAACCAGGGGCCAGGGGTTTAGCTCAGTGGCACAAGCATCTGCCTGGCAAGGGAGGGAGGGAGGGAAGGAGGGAGGGAATGAGAGAGGGAGGAAAGAAAGACAGACAGACAGACCAACCACCTGAAAAGCACAAGGTCACCACTAAAGGGCATGAATGCCAAAATGAAAACCCAAAATAGTCTGTTAAGATCACAGCTGTTTGCAAAGAACATATAAGGCAAAGATCATGCCACCCACTAAATTCTTTGTCTACTGAAGCTTCCCTAAAACTGCCTGAGACGATGCCACACAAAATGATTACTACAGAAAAGTACCACGTAGAGACCCACCCCTGAGCACCTTTCACCATCAGAAGGCTTGCTTCCCTCAGGTAACCAGCATGGGCAAGAAAAACACAGCCAGATACTCTCCATGTACCCTCAGGCTGCTGGTGGAGATGCCTGTGTCCCACAGATAGCCAGTACAAGCCAGAAGAATTGGGCAAATACACCCAAGTATGCCTGCTGTCATCAGGGGAGTCCCGGTGTATCCATGCAGGCTGAGAGAAGCAGCCTACCACCATGCATCCACGGCTATCAGGGAAACCTCAGTGTAGCCGCGCAGGTCTGAAGCCCACCCATGCCCTATTATCTGATTTCTAAGAAACTCAGGTGTCTGGCCCATTCTCTTTCACCACAGAGGGGTAGCCAACGTGGGAAGTACTTGGGACCCCACAGCTGGCTTGTCAGGAGGAACCAGGAAAATGTCAAGACAAAGGAGCGAAAGGCAATCTCAGACCTCCAATCCACACAGAACAAGTCTGGGAGATATAGATATGGAAGAAAATGAAAGCCACACACCTGAAATTTCTGAAAGGACAGCAACTGAAGTAAAGAAACAACTTCATGAGGCTGTAAAAGTAATCAGACCAGAAATAATATCTCAGGTAAAAAAAGAAATCCCAAGCATAATGAAAGAATTTCAGACCATATCGAAGGAAAACACAATAAAAAAAAAGCATAGGAAAATGATTGAAATCTTGGATGAACACTATAGGAAGAAATTACAATGCATGAAACAAGATTTAAGAAGATCTAAGAAATTAAAAACTCCATCAAAAGCTAGCAAAACTGTTTAAAAGAGACTAAAGATAGACTTGCAGACCTTGAAGACAGGCTTGCAGCTAGCAATTATGAAAGAAAAGATCTCTTAAAAGTAACAAGAAACCAGGAAATAACAATTGAATGGCTATTTTCAAAGAAAAATAATTTAAGAGTGATATGTGTCAGTGAAAAAGCAAGGGCCAACAGGAATGACATAAAATGGCTATTTACAGAAGTAACAGCAGAAAACATTCCAAACATAGGAAGATAACCTGGCATTCAGACATGTGAGGCACATACAATTCCAAATCTATGCCCAGACATATAATAATCAAGATCTCAGAAGATCTCTTTCAAAGATCAAAGATCTCTTTCAAAACTGACGGAAAAATAAGATACTTGCATGATAAAGAACAACTGAAGGAATTCACAACCACCAAACTAACTGCAAAGAGTGCTAACGGGTCTTTTGAGAAAAATAAAGATGACTACAATTCCAGGAACAGCAGCAGAAGGGGATCGCCAAATAAGAGAGGCAACTGAACAAAGGGGAAAAGTAGGGGACCAACAGCAGGGGGATACATGGCAGAGACAAGGCAATGCATGTCTGTTGTAACCATGTCTTAGTGCACCACCAGATGGCCTTAATTCACCAATAAAAAGAAACACAGGGAGAGTGGATCAAGAAACAGCATCTATCAATATGCTGTATACAAAAAACACATTTAACTCAAAAGGAAATTCATAGACTAAAAGACAAAGGAGAGAAAACAATGTTTCTTGTGACAAGAAACCAGAAAAAAGCAGGGGTAGCTTGCCCATCAACTGCAGAGTGGATACAGATGTGGTATTTTCATACAATGGAAAGCTACTCAGCTATGAACAGGGATGATTTCAAATATCTTATAGGTAAATGGACACAACTTGAGATCATGCTCATAGGTAAACCGGTTCAGACTTATACAAGTGAACAATGTGTTATTTCCTAGCGTAAAAAACTGAAGGAGTTAGTGGGATCCAAAATGTACAATAGATATTGTGACAGTAATGAGAAGAAATGTCTAAAAAGGGGAGGTGATAACCATTGTTCATTTCTTATTATCTTATATTGAATTAGTCATTGTTTTCATAGTTTTGTTAGGTTTGGTTTTATTCTGTCTTGCTGTTTTTTATTTTACTGTGTCTGATGGTATAGGTAGCTATTTTGAAAATAAAGGGATGTATTATGGTAGTCATTGCTGATTTCCTATCATCTGGTTTTGAAGTCTTATAACACTTTCATTCTTTTGTTTTGATTGGTTTTATTCTGTTTTGTCTGATTTTATTACATCTGATTGAATGGATAGGTATTTTAAAGAAAACAAGAGCCTGTATGTTAGCCACTGTTGACTGTCTATTATCTTGTTTTATAGTACTGTATTGCTTTTACTGTTCTGATCTGATTAGCTTTATTCTGTTTTGTTCTCTTTAAAACAAAAAGAAAAGAGTACAGAACAAAACCAGAGAGAAAACTGTTAATACAAATTAATTTCACTAATCAAATGACAGAGAATTTTAGCACGTGAAAGGCTCTCGGGGTGACCTAGCCGATTTTTCTTTTACTTATAGAGAAGAAAAATGGAGTGACTCCCTCTGGTCACACACCTTAGTCCTAACCAACTCAGGTCAGAGAATTACCACCCTCATAGCTCCAGAGCTCTTAGTGCACCACTGAACCCCAAATGCATAGGTTTTAGAAGCTACAATCCATCAACCCTAAGGCAGTTCTGCAACTACAAACCTGTTCCTGCCACCAGGACTGCAAGTCACACTCACCTGCTTTTCTCGGAAGGACCGTTTGGTTTTGGACCGAACATTCTGGCTGTATCGCATCATCATAAAGTTCTTCTGTTTTTTCTTTTCTTTATTTGTGGAACTGGAAAATGGATTCATTTTGGTTTTCTTTCTCACAAATTCCTTTCGGTCTGTCTTTCCAGCCTATTGGCACAAAAAGATTCATGTTTTTTCTTAGAAGTACACACTTTCCAAGTTATCTGATTAACATAAATGCAACCTGTGTGCTTCACACTCTGCTGCATGGGCTGGAGATTTAGCTCAGCGGCATAAGCGCCTGCCTTGTAAGCAGGCAGTCGTGAGTTCGATCCCTGGTACCGATTAAAAGGAAAAAGACAAAAAAAAAAAAAGAAATGAACACACTCTGCTGCATGCCATAGACACAGCAAGACAGGATACAATCCTCGGTTCCAAGATTTATCCAATGGAGAAATACAATCAGGTATCATAATACAGGAGGAGGAGCTCCATGGGAGACCAGTACTTTGGATATTGAAGCAGGAAAAGTGAGTTCAAGGCTAGTCTGGGCTACATATAGTGAAACCCTCATTTCAGAGAGAGAAAGGAAGGAGAGTGGGAGTTCAGTGAAGGAAGGGTCCTAACTCAGCCTGGTGCAATGAGAGGACATTCCCAGAAAGGGAGTCAAGTAAGCTGCTTTCTGCACATGGAGGAAGTGCAGAGCTTTGCAGGAGGTAGTACAGGGTGCGTGAAGATGTGGAGGATGAAGAATGTGAGTTTCTGAACTCATCTAAATAAGCTTAGTATAAAATAGAATGCAGAGTGGGAAGAGGGTAGTGTGGCATGGCACATAATGAGGCTGGAAATGCAGGCAGGATGCAGCATGAACAGGTCCATATGGACCTGCAGCCAACACTACTGACTCCAGCTTTTCAATGACCATTTTGACCTGACTGTTTTCTTATTCACTTTGAAAATGAACTAAACCTCCTGATACCATAAACATGGAAAACAACCTTCCTGTAGTTTGTATTTTTTTGTTTTGCATGGTGGTTACATGTCTATATACTACTGTCAAAACTTATTTAAGAGTTAAAACCTATGCACTTTATTGTACATTAATTATATCCTTACTTAAAACATAAAAACGCTACTCTAACCTAGATGTAATAGTACATGTCTATAAACAAAGCACTCCGAAGGCTGAGGCAGGAGGATTATAAGTTCTATTTCAGCCAGGGGAACTCTGGAACTTAGGAAAACCTTCTCTCCAAATAAAAATAATTTTAAAAAAAAGACCTGAGAATACAGCTCACTGCAAAGGTTGTAGATTTAATCCTCAGTGCCACAAAAAACAGACAAACATACTTCTATAGATATGCAAACTCTGAATTATATTTCATTTTATTTGCCTCCCTCACCATTGCAGTTGCTAGTCGTGTCTCCTTGTCAGACTTAGGTTTTTTATGAAGACGTTCAATGTCTCGAAGAGACAGTAATTCACCCCTGGGGTAAGAGAAAAATAAAACCGTACATAAATACAACTCCCTTCCCCAATACTTTCATTACCATACAAGTCGACTGACAAATGGTACACATGCTACCTTACCTGGGCTCCTCGTCACTGTCTATTTCAATGTATTTCCTCTTTTGGGCTTTCCCTGGGGCGGCAGCGAGCTCTTTCCTCATTTGGGCCATGCGGATTTTCTGGAAGTCCTCTTGAGTCAAGACTCGACTGGTGCTGACAGCTGCAGCCTTGGCCTTCCGCTCCTCCGTGTCCATGCTGCTTAGTTTCTGGGACTGCAGAGCACAACAGGCTCATTACTGCCCACTGTGGGGGTTCCAGGCCATGCCAATGCTAGTGTCCAACAAGGCCCAGCATAAGCCAAGTCTTGATAAAGGTAAGAGGGAGGTACTGGTACAGAAATTTTAAGACTTACAATCTCTTGCTGCTGCTCTTCGTCGGAAGAGTGGTGCACATCAACCCATTCACCATCAGCTTCCTCCTCTTCACTGAGACTGGTACTTTCCCACCCATCTGTGTGAGAAAGAACTCATTAAAACTGTCACTCCATATTGAATATTTAGAGCCAGATGAGAGAAATCAAGCAGCAGAAAAGGTAATGAACCTTGAACCGATTCTCCACTGGCAAGGAAGTGCACAGTTTTTGTTTTTATATAAGCCACATCAACTTAATTAACTTAAGGAGTTGGAATTAAATATTGGCCATGTATCTATCGTAAGCCCCAACCTTATAATCACTTTCTCTGACCCTCACAGCTCAACAGAATATGGAAACACTCCAGAGTAAAGTCCTACAACCAGAAATTGCAGCCCGCAATCAAATTATGGCTAACTCCAGAATCCATGTTTCTCTCACTGAATTAACTATCTATAACAGCTGTATTTGAATACTTATTTTGAGCAAACAGCAAGTATCTGATGACTTGTCTAAATATACTTAAGTGGGTATAAGAAACTAGTTTTCATTATTCGGAGAATTGAAGTAGACGATTTTAGACATGAAAGAATCTTGTAGATACCCAATAAATAAGGTAGCTTCCCATGATCTCTAGACCACCAGCTCTTTGCTACACACAAACACTCATGATAGGATCTTCAACTCATTCTATGGTTTCCTATCTTGCCATGTGATCTTGCCTCAAATAATGAGGAAACAAAAATGAACCTTCAGGGGCTGAGGCGCAGCTCAGTGATGGACGGCTCATGGAGCATATGAGCATGCACAGGGTCCTGGGTTCATTCCCAGCACCAAGGAGGAAGTGGGAAAGGGAGGGCAGAAGAGGAGGAGGGAGGGAGAAGATGAACCTTCATCATTTTCAGCATCCTCTTCTTTCTCAATTTCCAGAACCTCTGCTCCTGGAATGTAATCTTTAGCATCTAATTCACCATATTCTTGTACTCTTGCTTCTACAGAAGCTTCTGTAGGTTTGCCCTAAAGGAGATGAAATTGTTTATACTAAGGTGATCAGAAATATGTAAGACAGGATTATGAATTCTGAAGGTAGTACTATAAAAAATGGAGGTAACCAAGTGACAAAAGTTCACCATAGGACAAAGTAAATACCCCAGAGCCAGATGCTGGCCACTATTCTCTGTCTTCTAATCCAAATTAAGATACTGGCTATTAGTAAGGAAAACTCAGATTTGGTCTCCAAAATACCATCTGTCTTTCTGTAATATACATACATCCCTTGCTCCTTGGAAGAGGTGGTACCTGGAGGAGGAATGGCCTATTCAACCCCAGCAGGAACTACTGACTGAACTCTCAGATTTAAGCTTTCAAGTTTAATCAGCCTGACAAGTTAAAGAGTCAATCATAGTCAAAGAACACATGCTAACTACAAATAGGTAAGCCCGTGGTATTTAGTCACTTATAGTCTAAACATAAATAAAACCATAACACTATCAGTACTTACAAGAAAAACAACACAAACACTAAAATTCAAATAGCAGAAAGTTATTCTCACATTATGAGATCAAAACCTTTAGCTCCAATAGCCACAGGCTTTACTTACCCGGAATTTTTTCTGTAACATCTGAGGATTCAGCGTCCGGAAGAGCTGGATCAAAGTTCTAGCAGACATCATTACATCTATAAAATAATATCTTTAACTAAAATTTCTGGAACAAAGAGCACAGTGAGATAAAAGTGAGACTAGCATACAACTTACTCTTATCTTTGTGGGTCTTATATTGAGCCAGGTCTTGGAGAAGCTCCTCAGTCATGGCTAGAGGACACCGAGCTGTTATCTCCTTTATAGCATTGATACTAAAAGAGGAACAAGGGATTAAAAATAAAGCAACTTTATGTGGTTTTAAGAAAATTTCCCTAAGAAATGAAATAAAAAGGAATATAAATGGGATTTTATGTGGCTTAGGTCTCTAAAACTGCAGCACAGTAGAACATGAAGGTGGGAGTCTTACTGAGCTTTTATTCCAGATAGTTACTATGCTTCCTGTGCTAGTGGATATAAAGAACAGTGTCCAAAAGCTAATTCATTCAAATGCACTTGTTTTCTATAGTAAAGGAATTAAGTCACAATAGCCTTACTCTCCAACCCTAGGGAAAGAAGGGACCAGCTCAAGTAAGAAAGGCTACACGTCTGTCAAACTTCCATCCCAGCAGTATTTTCCAGGGGAGATAAAAAGTAACTGTCTAATAAATTGTTTATCAGGATGGTATACAGTCTTTAAGCCAGTAATTTTTAATTGCTCAAAAGAGCCATGTGTATGTACCAGCTCTCCATGATAAATGTAATCATTAGGTACTGCCAACAAGTACTAATAAAAAAATTATCAAAAAAAAGGGCACTGAGTTGCCCTAAAATTAAGAGCAGTTCAATAGTAAACCATTCATTTCAGGGTAGGACTTACGTTCAGAAGAGATAAGAGATAAACATTTAGAGGTTGCTGATCATTCACTCGCTAGAGTAAAACTAGATAAAAACCAAACTGCTGACTAGCAGCATGAATACTTTTACTTAAGTCCCTACTAAACCTGACCAGTAACACAAAAATAGTAAGCCTCTTGAGAAGATTAAAGTATATCTTAAATCATTTTTCTAGAGGTCACACTGCCAGCTGAAATTGTGCAACTTGTTAATGCAAGGCAAACATAGCACACTAAATATCAAGGGCCCCAACCATATTGTACTTACCCTACTGTCATGACCTCCCCAGAGTTCTTGTCAGTAACAAAATTGTTTGCCACAGTCATAAGCAATGACTGAATGATCTGAGTTAGAAACAAAAGAAGAGAGAAGTAAAAGGGAAGTCTATACCCACACAAATCCCCTGTGTATGAAAGGGAGCAAGTTATCCACACGAGAAAAGAGCCCTCTCCCTTTCTTATAGGGTTGGAAGAGAACAACACTGAGGAGGGCAGAGATAAAAACATGCTATTACATTTTACTCTCCTCGATACAGAAAAAAATTTAGAATAACTCCATGCTTTTTCATCAAAGAAAGGAATTACCACCTTTGAAAAACAATGACAATAAACTTAATAAAATTCTTGACCTCCTCTACTCAAAAAATATGAAACTAAATCAGTATTAACCTGTCCAAAAGAAACTTCACTTCCCATGAGCTGTACAACTGGGCTTCTTGTATTTATCTCCAAGAGACAATGTCTTCCCTGATCACTTAGAAAGGAGAGCAGAAGGGAAACCCTTGGGAAGAACAGACAGACCCAGCAGTGGCACTACGCTGCACATGCCAGATCCAGAAGTCAGGCTTAGAGTGCTCACCTCTGGAGGTACAAGATGATGAGATGCTTGTGCAGCAAACAGGAGGATCTTTGTTACTTCTGAAAATGTAAAAGGGGAGAAGGGTCACAGAATCATACTGCCACTCAGGACTACAGCAACATGACAAGCAAGTCCCAGCCCTCACACTACTGCCCCTACTCCACCTGAACACTCAACTCCCAGCTTCCTTTGCTTCCTTTAGGTCCCAGCTCAAGGGCTGCCTCCTTAAAGTCTTTCCTGACCTGGCGATTTTAAAAAGAACCAGACCTAACACTCCTTGTTGCCCTTACTCTGCCTTCTTTCTCTTCAAAACACATTTTTACTTGAACACATCATATAGATAGCAGTGTCTGTGGCAGTACCCATGAGGGTAGGGCTTTATGGTCAGTGTGGAATTCTTTATGTGTAATGCAATGGCCACCACAGAAACTATTGAATAAACGCTTGCTGAATAACTAAAAACACACAAGCATGTATGCATACACCTACCTTCTCTTCAGAGGGCCAGCATAGTTAATGCAAAAAACAAGGCCTTTGGAGAAGAAAAAGTGAAGCACTTCTTGAGGTGAACCTAGTCACTTTTCCTCTATTGACACCTTACAGGATCAGTCTGAAGAAAGGCACTTTACACAGTGCTTCACTCATGTCAAAATCTCAGTAATTAGTTTCTTTCCTACCTTAGCTCAAACTCAAAGAAAACAAAATCTCGTTTTTCCTGCTTCTGTGTTGTTTTTAATTAATAATGCACAGTAAGAGGAATAAGAGATGTAAGATAAAATCCTCTTACCCATGATTACAAAGTTTGGAAAAAGATCAAACTTTTTTTTTCTGTAATGCTCAAAGTGAGCATTTATCAACACTATGAAATGACTTGCTTTTGGAAACTGATCTTCTGTTAACTAAAACATTTACTATAATTGATGAAGAGAACAACTAATCCATCACAGACTCAAGAAAGAAAACATAAGAGCTCTTTTTCCCTTCTCTGCTATAAAACACACAATACTTCACTCCTAACTCTGTCTTCAATGATTCCAGAAGGAGCCACCAAGCGGACATACTAAATGAGATTACCTCTCTGGTGGGGCTGCAGAAACCTTTGGAGAAAGGGGTAGAAATTGAAGAGAAAAAGCTGTAAAGAGAATACACCACTGACTTTAGTATTTATGTAACTGCCATGCAATTTCATTTTCCTACAATGCAACTATATTACCAAGATTAACTCATCTGCAATTGATTTTTTAGTTTTGTCTCAATAAACAATCGCATCACAGAAATTTTAACATGTTCTAGCAACCAATGAAGAGAACTCTCAACTGAGAGATAGCTTCACTAAGTAGAGGAGAAAAGTATACACCAAATAAGCCAAGAGAAATAGGAGCAACCAAAAGGTAACATTCTTCGACTTGTAAAACTAGTGTGGCTGTAGATCTGATGTTTCAGTGTTTAGAGAAAGCACTGATATTAACACTTCAAAGCAAAGCACAAAATAGAAATTTGAAGCTGAGAAGCACTAACGTAATCTGGTCGTCAAACAAAAAAATCACAGTAGGGATTTTTAATTGTTTAATTGTTCAAGCTTTTTTTTTTTTGTCTTTTTCATTTTTATCGGTACTGGGGATCGAACTCACGACCGCCTGCTTGCAAGAATTGTTTAATTGTTTACCAGTCTAAAAGCACTGGATGAATCACTGTACTCAGTATTTTGGAGTAAACTAAGTACTCTGGAGTGTTTATTTAGATAGCCATGCTTAAATCACAAATCACTTTGCTTTCCTATCAAGCCCAAATCTAGCTCTGACATGAAATTTATGAATGTTAATAAGAATTGGGGTTGATCCAACTCTGAGACAACTACTCATGGAGAAAGCACTCACCAGAACAGATAAGCTTTTCTTAGGGAAACTAGCACTTTCACTTGCGTGCTTTCATTTTTAACTTGATATATAGCTGTCCTGTTTGACTGCCAATAAATAAGCTCTCTCTTACTTTTCCTAATTTGCGGTGGGTGACAGAGAAGAATTATTGGAGATAGAATCCAGGGCCTCATGCCTGCTAACCAGGCACTCTACCTCTAAGCTATAATCCCAGTAACCACTGCATTTGATAAAAAAATTTAAAGGAAAGCAACACATCCAATAATGCAGAACTAGTCATGAGATTGGACAGGAAACAACCTCAACAGTCATTTCTCTATGGCCTGAATTTCTGGGCACCATTCCTTTTGCATAAATGGCAGGTAGTCTGAAGAGTAAATGTGAAGCCCCTACACAGACATGCTATATGTACATAAACACTGTTGAGAAGCTCATATAATCCATTTTAATGAAAAATACATGATTAGGGACTGGAACTTCACAAATATGACAATTTCCTACCAGAGGGATCTGGAAATTGGGAAAGCCACATAGTGTTAAACTTTGAAATGAAGTAAGAAACAATAAAATATATGGATTATATAGACTCAGGAAAATGTATATATGAAATGAAAAAAAAGAAAACACAAGAGGTGTTCATAAACTGAGTGTACGAACTAAAATCTATATTCATGGGGAGCAAAACAGAATGATAAAAACAGCTATTGTAAACTTAAAGATTACTGGTAACCGTATGAATGTAAACAGCCTCAGAGTTAAAAGTCAGATACTGCTTTATCTAATGGCTTTCTTTTTACTTAGAACATTCTACTTTTAACATACACCAAAAGAAAGTATTTCAAACCTCATGGATTCCCACCAATCTGGAGATGAGGTTCATAAGCATCATCTTCACTTCAAACCTCTCCTTAGAGTTCTCTAGCTGCCTGAGTAGTTTTTCTGCAAAATCTGGAAGTAAAAGGATCACAGTTCATTGTGGGTCCACAGTCTATACAACAGGGCTAGGGGAAGGGAGTAGTTAGATCAGTGAAAACATCAAACGCAGGTAAGCATATCTTCAGTGATGCCCAGGGTTCATCTTAAAGATCCTTGAGGCTTATGTCACACCCAGAGTAACTGTGATAAGCATGCCACCAAAAAGTTCTCTAGAGCCTTGCTTCTCAAAGTATGGTCTACAAACCAGCAGTGTCCAGTTTATCGGGGACATTCTTAGAAAATTGTGGTTTGTGTGTACACTCAACTTTAAGAAACACTGACCTAGAGCAAATGCTGCTATACATTACAACATAAAGCATTCAGAATTCCAATCTCCAGTCAAACCCCAAGTCATCTAAATCACAATCTCCAAGGTTAACAGGACCTAAGCATCAGTATAGGTTTAGAAACTCTCCAGGTAATCCCAATGTGTAGTCAAGTTTGGGAACTCATGTTTTAGAACAAGGCTAGGCCTGTAATCCCAGCACTTGGAAGGCCAAGGCAGAAGGATCACCATGAATTTAAGGCCAGCCTGAACTACATGCTGAGTTCAAGAGCAGCCTCAACTGCACAGATTGACTCCATATCCAAAAAAACAAAACAAAAAAACAAAAGGAACGGGCTGTTCCACTTTTGGTCTCAGATCAATTTTTTATGTTTAAAAAAAAAGACCAACAATAGACTATCAGTTTCATTTGGTTGAGTACAATGTCTTACCACTTTTGCAGTGTTAAAGCCACAAATCTCAGAGGGTCCTGTTCAGTCATATTTTTATTCTTCTGCTACAGTTTAGGAATCACTAATGTCAATATAGTGTTTTTTTCTTTTTTTTTTAAGAGTAGGAAAATTTATTGGAGAAAACGAATGGGGAACGGAAACTGGGAATGGAGAACAGAAATAGACAGGAGGGGGTCCCAGTGGGTTGCCCCATATAATCTTCTACATTACAACCAACTAGGAAAAACTGAGCATTTATTATCTATAAAATAACAATGGTCTTGTATCCCTTAATATCTGGAAAGCACAAAACGAATTTGATAGCAATAAAGCCAACAGGGAACTTGCAAATTCAAATGTACCTTGGGGGTCATGGATCAAGTGAATTGCTGAAAAGTTAAACACCTCTGGCTTTTTCTTCTTTTTTTGTTTCTGAAAGAGAGAGAAAACACTTTCCACCCTGAGTTACAGTGATGCCTGCTAATGAGAAAAACACTGTTATCAAACTCTGTAAGCTACTTAAAGGATTTTGGAAATACAAGCATTAAAACATACACAGGGGCCAAAACTGCTGATTTTCAGAATAATCATTAAAAAATATCAAATGTACTTTCATTTCTGTATTATTGAGAAGACACGTTAGTTAGCAAAGACACTTTCAATACAATTCGCTTTGATCAGACGAGTGAAAATTAATTTAAAATATTAGTCTTAAAAAATTCACATAATCCGGTATGGTAGCACACACTCAGTGAAGCCTGGGCAACTTAGCAAAACTTGGCAGGACCCTTTCTCAAATAAAAACTAAAAAGAGCTTGGGGGTGTAACTCTGTGTAAAAGTCACAGGATCAATGTTCAATACCACCAAAAAAAAAAAGAAAATCATTCATCATACAATTCTAAGTTTTTAAAAAATGTTACTTCTTGATTTCAAAGTCTTAAAAGCTCTAAGTAAAACCTTATGTTCTTCATTCTGATAATTTCCACCTAATTTCCCAAGTACAAACCTCACCTTGAGCACTTTCATTGCCTTTTCCAACTTCTTCTTATTTTTGGCACTTTTCTTCCCTGTAGCATATTGCACGAGCAGGTCTCTTGCTGTGGGTCCTTCCTCCTGAGGAAGAAACTACTCTATAAAACTGAAAATTAGGAAAATCTGCACAGAAGCCATATGCAAATTCTTTCTGGTTCTGTACTCATTCCACACATCAACTAAAAGTCAACACTACAACTTTTACTATAATTATTCTAGTTACTTGGCAGGCTGAACTAGAAGGATCACAAGTTCAACAAGTCTGATCAACTCAGCAACTCTATCTCAAAATAAAAAAAATCTCCAAAATATAGAGATTGTTAACTCAGTGGTAGCAAGCTCTTGGTTTAATCTTTGGTACTGTTAAATCTTTAAAAAGTAAAAACTATGCACATGTGTCTGGAAACATAGGCACATACAAAAATTTTCACTGCAGCATTTATCTTTATATTCTGCTTTTGCTTTTTTCTTCAATATGTTAAACACAAGTCAACTTTGCTTAATACCTCTAAGAAAAGTTCATGACATCATATTGATTTTTTTCTTTTAAAGATGCCATGACATTACTCCCCTCCCTTTTCTCACTGTAACCTTCATCAATGTTGACAATAACTCAAAAATACATCAGCAGTAATTTTTATTCTGATTTTATGTACAGCAAGTTCCCGAATTATGGACATTCAAGTTATGAACTTTCACAAATACGAACAGATCTCACACTAGAAACATCTGTAGATGTGAACAAATCGCAGAAGTAGCTCAAGTGTCGGCCAGACACTGTCACAGTAGTGCTGCTGTGTGCTTACTGTACAGTATGATAGTGTACAGTAGTGCAGTGCTCAGTTGGGGCCCAGGATGTCCAGAAGCAAGAGGATAAGCAATGGTGATGTGGAGGGACTGCTAGGAAGTACAAGGCAATACATATTGTGTATCTGCATAAAAACTCATACTGTCAGCCTTACAAACCAATCTGACTTACATTCTCCCAGAATGGAACTCATTCGGATTTTGGAGACTACTATAGTAAGATACAGATGTAGCTGTAAAACTAAAAATATATTGAACAAACGAATGTTTTATTATTCAATCAATCTTTCTGAACACAAGTAACAAATTCCAAATACAAGAAAATTTCAACAGGGAAATACTCAGTAAAAGACAAAGGTAACTTTGTAACTTAACTAGTCACAGATTTTATAATTTCCACTCAGAGCAATAAGGAAATCTGATGAACTGTGTAACTCAGAAGAACCTCTGATTAAACTAACCTCAGATTCTGAGTCGCTATCTTTTTTCTCATCTTCATCTTTCCCAAGGAAAAATGTAAGAGCAGCAACCAATATCTAAAGATCAAGCAGAAAACAGTCAGGTACCTAACCCAGCTCATAACAAAGAACAAATTTTATTTACACTCTATACATATCTGTGCCTGGGATCTGAAGAAAAAACTTCACAGGTGGTAGGATTTTTGTATCTTTTTCTTAATCAAAATGTTTTTAGAATTTCATTTGCCCCATAAGTACATAACTTAAAAATCTTTAGGGAAGGGGGTGTAGCTCAGTGGTAGATTACATACTTAGCATGTAATCCCCAGCAACACCACCCCCAAAATGAAAAAAAAAAACCCACAAAGGTATATACAGTTATTCTTCTGGCAGACTGTCAAGATTAACCATGCCCCAATGCAACAGAAATAAGGTTAAGAATCACAGGAGGAAACAACACACATAACTGTCGCTTACTCCACAGTGTTTGAAAAATGTCATGATAATTCTGTTTGTCTCTTCTGCAGCACAGAAGAACCAAGGAAGCAGTCTCAGGACAGAGGAGCAGCATTCAACCGAGGCTGAATGACCACACCCACACACACCCTTCCCTCCCTCCCATGACTACATCCACTTGGGCAGACACCCTACCCTTCTACCTTTTCTCCCAGAAATGGGACACCCAGAACAATGCTCACCTTGGTGACCTTAGAGAAGCACGCCGTCGTGATAACATTGACGGTTTTGGCATCATTCCTGGAAGACAAGTGTTTTGGGGTAAGTTTTCACACTACTGTATTTCATACCACAAAATAAACAGTATAATAAATACTAATATTCTAATATTTTAAGTCATGGAGTGCTAAATTAGTCAACCACAGGTAAAAAATTTAATTATATTTTAACCCACTCTTATGACAAAAAATATGTAGCCATTAAAATAAAGTATTTGAAGAGTGTTTAATGACACAAGAACCTACTCAAAGTTGCTAAGGGGAAAAAAATCAACTTTTAAGAAAAAAACTATACAATAGCAAAATTCCAACAGTTAAAAATGCACATTAAATAAAAAACCAAGAAAGCATACTATAAAATATTAACAGTTATCACCTCTGGGGTGGAATTATATATAACAGAAAATTTTTCTAGTTTCCCTAAGTACTCTGTTGCAATGAATATTACTTATATTGTAAAACAATCAATAAGAAAAGCAAAAAATGTGAGTTGGGACATTATACCATACAAACAAAGTCTATGAAACATTAATTGAATTGATTTGAAACCAGAATAGCAGAATTGGTAATGCAGGTTTCTAAGTCAGATCTGGGTCTGAATTTCAGTCTTCCTCTTAATAGCTAAATTCATACACTATTAACTTCCATCTCATCACCTATCAAATACAGATAATTCCAGTCAAGTTGCATATTCTGAAGGTTGGACGAGGTAAAGTGCCTGACCTATTAGCTGCTCAAGAATGGTAGTCAATGTCCTTAGTCATTTTGATTGCCTCTGTATTTTTATTTCCAACTTATTCTATGATGGGTATACTACAGTATGCAAAATCAACCAATCATATACTTGTGCATGTGCTCTGTATTAATTATAAGTGGAACAAGAGTCTACTACTGAAGAGAAAAGACTCATGAATCTATTACCAGATGTTCCTTCTGTAGAGCTCAATCATCACATCCAAAGACATCTTGGCTGCAGTTGCATTGCTATCTCTCAGCATAGTGTACATGAAATTCTGTAGTACCTGAAGAACAGAAAGAAGGTTAAAACGCCAATGGTACCAGTAATAAAGACAAAAGGACACTGAGTATGGTGGCACATGCCTGTAATCCCAGCACTTGGGAGGCTGAGGCAGGATTGTTGTCATAATCAAGGCCAGCCCAGACTACATAGCAACACTGTCTCAAAACAAAACAAATAAAAAAGACAAAATGCTACTTACTATGTTCACTTTATTGTTCTTGTGTTTTGAATTTATATTCTTAATATCAGCCACAATATGTGTGTATAAAGTCTGAGAAAAAGAAAAACATTACACATTAAACCTCACCAACATTTCTACATTTTTATTAAATTTGGAGAAAGGTATAAATTTACAGAATGACTTAATCTTACCTATATTTCATTCTACCACAAAGGTAATAAAACACAAACAAAGGAAATAAAAAGCAAAGTAAAGCTGCCTTGAAAATGTTACATATGAAGGTACTACAATTGGTAAGTGATCAAAATACTATATACTATGAATGTTTAAATTTTAAAAAGTTACTACAGAAAAGACACACTGAGGTTAAACTCCCTCAAAATACTGACCCTCAATTTGATCACATTTATCTCATTGTTCTTGCCTCTTTCTTTCTTTTTTTCTTTCCTTCTTTTTTGGTACTGGAAATTGAGTTTACAACTTCACATTTTCCAGGCAGGCACTGTGCCACTGATATTCCTGGCTCTTGCCACTTTCTAAAGCAGATCCAGAAGTCTTCCTTATCTTTAGGAGGTGTGATAAGCATTCAGTAAATGTCAGCTACCAATGCCATACTGTACACATTATGGCTGCTTTCTTATTAAAATTAATAACTGTGTCTAATGATATAAAGCATTGATAATTTAAAGGACTCCAAACTCCACACATTTTTGTATCACCTCAAAGAAGAACAAGATATAGAGGGAAAAAAACTTTTGCTCTTTACCTTTCGCAGAAGCTTATCATGGCAACGCAGAAGTTCAAAGAAGAGTTCCAGCAGACTTGATGGACTGATGAGATTCTTATTTCTCAGCAAGATCAAAGCTTTGCAAAATGTCTCAGGAAGGAAAGAAAATATGATATAAAACAAGAGGAAACAGAGCCTACATACCCCACAGAGTTCTCTGTCTCTCATTAACATGGCACTTTTCCAGGCAGCAGAACAAGCCACTGACCACACAGACCTCACACTGGGTGTAGGAGGAGAGAGGCAGAAACAGGAGCATGGCAATGAGTAAGCACAAAAAGGAAGAAAAACACAAAACACATGGTCATGAGTCCATAAGAACAAGACAAGTGAGGTAACTGACATAACAAAGTACACTGTCCTTCTTCTGAAATCCTGTCAGCAGTAAGAATGGCCCAGTAGTAACTGTAACACTCTTTCATTTGTTTGGCTTTTGGTTTTTTCAGACAAGGTCTTGCACTGTGGTCTTGAACTCACTGTGTAGCCCAGTCTGGTCTTGAACTTACAATCATCCTGCCTCAGCCTCTTAAGTGCTGGAATTACAGAAATGGACCATCATGCCCAGGTAGCTGTAGCACTCTTGCTTACCACTAACTCTCACGTGTTGCCCTATCACCCAATTTTTTACTTTGTTTTTCCTTTGTGACAGAGTCTTACTATGTTCAGGTTGGCCTTGAACTTACTATGTAGCACAGGCTGGACTCAAACTCATGACAATCCTTCTGCTTACTTCTAATGCTAAACTGCATTAGATAAAAATGAGGGCCACAGATTTAGCTCAGTGGTGTAAGCACCTGCCTGGCAAGCGCAAGGCTGTGAGTTCGATCTCTGGTACCAAAAAAAAAGTCTTCATTAGATGGAAAATTAAACTCTTGGAGAAAAGTTACTTTCCAACTCTTGGAGTTGAAATGGGTTTGGAACTATTTTCATTCTTTCAAAAATATCACGGGCACTACTAAAAGGACTAAGTTCCTCTCAACCAAGTGGCAATAATTAAAACATGGACTAACAAAACTCAAAAATACATTAGTAGAGGCTGGAGATGTAGCTCTATGGTATAGCACTTGCCTACTATGCAGAAAGCCCTGAGTTTGTTTTCAGCAAAGCAAAAACAAAAACAGAAACAAAGTCAATTTAAGAGAGTATTTTATAAGGTGGTTATAATGTTCTGCCAACAAATACAAAGTTTATCTATATATACAAGAAAAAGAATTTGGGAATGATTCCAAAAGTCCTAGAAAATACCAAAATAAATTAGATAGGCAAAGCAAGTGGGTAATAAGGATTGGGTGTTACTGAACCAATGAAAAAAATAGGGTTTTCCAGCGTGTCACAAATAATTCTTTTTTTTTTTTTTTTTTTGTCTTTTTCGTTTTTATCAGTACCAGGGATCAAACTCACAACTGCCTGCTTGCAAGGCAGGCGCTTATGCCGCTGAGCTAAATCCCCAGCCCACAAATAATTCCTTAAAGAGAAATGTTAACTATTCAGGCTCAATTTCTCATGCCCTAGCAAAGAAAATCTTTACTGTATGTTTTGAAACTTACTAACCAGGCTTGGGTTTGTTGCTCAGTGGTAGAATACTTCTTTGCATGCACAAGACTCTGTGTTTAATCTCTAGCAATACAAAAACCCAAATAATCATCATAGAACCCTATAATCATAAGCACACATTCAATTATTTAATGAGCATGCCAACAGACCAGTTTGGTCAAGTACCACCAGCCACACAAAACTTAAAAGAAAACCTCAGTAAGAACCAAGTCTCTAGTCTCAAAGTCTCTAATCTGTATAACCTATAATATGTATAACCTATATAATCTGTATAACCTTACAGACTTAATCACAAAACTAATAGCCACAATTGGAAGCCCATTGAGCTACCAGGCCCCACGTCCCATCTAGGTCAATTAGCTGAAAACTTAGAACCTGCACCTTTGGCTTGTCTGTGATAGTATTTTTTCTTTGGGGCCTAATCAAATAAACAAAATCCTGAAGAGATATAAAAACAGCACAACTATAGAAATCCCAGGAAAATATAAGAATGAGAAACACAGATGTACCTAGGAACTTGGCATTTTTACAAATTTTAGTACAGGATATTAACATGTGATCCTAACATTTGTTGTACGTATTATGTAAAAGTATTTGAAAAGCAATATACTGAATTTGAAAATGCCTCACTTAGGCTGAGCTCCCTAGAGGCAGTGCTTTCTCAAGGTTGCAAGTGACTACAAGAAAGGAAAGATTCTCACCAGGGATGTGAAGATAGCAGGAGAGAGCAGAGAAGGGAAAAGCTAAGCAAGTGTGTGTTCTTGGCAGCAGTGCAATTACAGAAGCATCAGGAAGCACAAATCTCCACAGCAGAGGTGCCATATCCTGAGGGTCATTAGCAGTAGATATTCACAGCAGGTGGGGGAAATGGGCATTCTGGGCTGGTACAGGGAAATCCTGATGAGTACCCAAGTTCGACTATTCCTGTGACAATGTTTAAATGCCCAACCGGTCCACTTAATGTACACAGTTACTGAATTATCAGAGATACTACAAATTGTAACTAGAGTTCTTGATATATATGAAATTTGAATGACTAGAAAGTATGACCTATTCAAAAGACAGAAAAAAGCACCCCTACAAAGCTGGCATGCTATAGAAAGATCAGAGAGAGCAATGAGATGAGATCAGAAACAGACAGGATACAGACCACAGGCAGGAACTTAGATCATGATAATAAGTTTGCATTTTCTCACAAGTATAATGAGAAGTCACACAGGAATCTCATGAAGGATTAACCATTCTGGTTTGTATTTTATAAAGATGGTTAGCTGAGATGCTGTCCTCATCTAAGCACACAGTCCATGCATCCACAAATACAGTACAGTTTATTGATCCAAATACTGGTCCTACCATTCGAAGATCTGAATCTAAGACTGTGTGATTATAGGAGAGAAGATCTTTGAGCTCTTGAGGAAAGTTACTTAGATGTTCTGGATAGCAGTGACCAATCTGTAACAAAACAAAGATTTTTCTGAAATTAATTTCTGTTCTACAATTCAGAGGCATGGATTTATCGTGGCCTGTTAAAGGCTGTGTTTCATAGAAGCTGGTGGTTCAACATCGCCTTTTCCCTCTTGTATGTTTATTTCTTACCATTTTTATAGTTCCTCTACTTTTTGTACAAAATTGGTGACATGATTTAGAACATTCTTGTATAATGAATTTAAAGGGAAAAAATATTTTCAAGATTTTTGTTTTGGCTGATTCTGTGGAGGTCCAATGAATTTTTTTAACTCACTGGAGAGAAAGCAAAATTTGCGGTTCCTTAAAAATCTTAAATTTCCACTGCCAATAGTGTGTAACACTGATTTTTGTTTTTTTCAAAAATTATTTTCTTACCTGTGCCATAAACATCACTAGCTCTGCCAGTTCTTTGCTGGGTTTATTTGGTTGTAACTTGAAAATCTCCACATTGGATTGGTAGTGATTATACTGCTGGAGAAACTACATGGAAATAAAAAAGAAAATTTATCACATTCTATTTATTATATAACTATCTCAGAGTATAATGAATATCCATTTAGTAAATGTCTTTGACAGTGGCACGGATAAAAATATGTAACTACTTAAAAAACCAGCTCTGTCTAACCCATTTTTCTCCCTTTCCTCGTCACCCACTTCAAACTAGCATGGCTTTCTTTTTGCTCTTCAAAATACGAGCCACATTCCTGCCCCAGAGTGCTATATTTGTTGTTTATTCTGCCTACACTACTGTTCTCCTAAATACAGGCACAGTTCTTCCTCACTTCTCTTAGGTCTTTAATTCATCAGTTATTATTCCAAGATCCATGACTAACCCATTTAAGTTTAACACCCTCTCATCATCCTCACATACATACAATTTTTTTTTTTTTTTTAAGGACAGGGTCTCGCTGTGTAGTTCAGGCTGACTTTGAACTCACTATGTAACCCAGGCTGGCCTTGAACTCTCTGTGATCATCCTTATTCAACCTCCCAAGTGCTGGGATTACAGGCATGTGCTACTACCTCAGTTTATACAGTCAATTTCTTGTTTCGTTTTTAGTGGTTACCACTATTTAACATACCACATATCACCTGCTATTGTATATTTCTTATTATAATGTAATCTAAGGAGAACAGAATTTTCATCTACATAGTTCACCACTATGGTCCCAGTGCCAAGCACACAGCAGATAATTAGTATTTGTTGAATGAATTAACTTCACTTAAAGATAGTATTATCTATCGACATGAACTTCAGTTAAAGACAGTATCATCTACCTGCATACAGAAATTTAAGAAAACGAGTTATCCTTCATTTCTTTTTTTTCTTAACCCCCACATCCCTGCACCAAGAAATCCTACTAGCTCTACTTTCCATGCAGAGTGCTCCTAATTTGTGTTAATGTTGATAATTAAGGTGACACCACCATTCTTTTTCTGGACTATTCCAGGAGCTTTTATATTACTTATATTACTTGCTTTGATTCTAGTCTTGCTCCTCTACAATCCACTGTGTATGTGTATGTGCGTGTTTGCTTGCACACACACACACACACACACACACACACACACACACAAATCGCTAGACTAAAATTTTTAAGAAGAATTTTTTTAAAAAATTTTGAACAAAGTCTTGCTAAAGTCATCCAGGCTGGGCTTGAACTTGCAATCCACCTATTTCAACCTCTCACAGAGCTCAGATTACAGTGCTGCCTCCACCTTACCAGAGTAAACTTTTTAAAATATAAATCAGATCATGTTGCTTCCTTGTTTAAAATTCTTCAATGGCAACCAGAAACAATGAAAGTATTATCACTGCATAAAAGTCTTCCCTGTTCCTGGGATCCAAATCAGCAGCCTCCACTTCTAACATATTTCTGCCCAGTTTTATTTTCTTTACAGCCCTTTGCACAGTAGATCTATCTCATTAGAAAGAAAATAAGCCATGAGAAGGTAGGTCTTGTCTCTGTTTTATCGTTGTATCACTGTGCCTAGAATTATATTGAGACCCAATAGATAAGTGCGTTTACATATGTGTTTAAAGGAATAAAAGTGGATATCATCTTCTCACAGACTAAAATACATATATAGTATTTGTAATTAACCTCTCTCATTATACAACTGGTCAACAGAACCAGGCTTCAGAGTTACTTGTAAACTAATGCTCTTAAACAGAAACCCATACAGGCCTGCATTTACTGGTTTGCCATGGTTAAACAGTGCTTTTCACACCTGTAAGTTTTGCCTGTTACTATTTCTTGTACCTGTCCCTTACTGTTTATTGTCATTCCCTTGATCTCTGAAAAGGCTTTTTCTAATGGTGATTAATAGACACTGTTTTAGTATCTATTAAAAAACATTCAAATAAGTATATGTGAAAGTGCGAGGGAAAAGGGAAATGAAAAAGGTCATACAAAAGATGTTGACTACTGAACAACTTACCATATACCAAGGAAGAATCATAGGTAACCTGTTTAATGCTTTGAAACAAATGCCTGTCTGAAGCGGCCGCCAGACAAAACCACCGCTTTCGTTTTGTCATCTTTCAGTTCAAATACTTTTAATTTCACAATTTATAAAATCAGTATATAAATCCCATCATAACCTAGGCCTAAATCAGCCTCATACTTTCCCAAAGCAATTCTGACATTCACATCACACTACCTTCCAATCAGTCTGAATTCTGGCTTAATCCTAAACTCCTGATTCTGACCCTAGAATGTGATAACTGCCCTCTTCCCGGCACAGCTCAGGGTTTTTATATACGATCTATCAAGTGTTAGCAACTAATACATGCCAGTTTCCCACAGGAAAAGGCCGAGAAACCTGACGGAAGCAGGTTAGGAAAGAGCCCTGTTCTCTCTTCAGAAAAAATTTTTTCTCTTCAGAAAAGTTTTAAAGGGTGTGTCGTTGGGACCGGGCCCTACACAGCTAGCTGAAGATCCCAAGACGCAGAAAAGGAACCATAAGGCATATTCCTTTCCCAAGACGTCCCCTCCTTTTAAGAGACCCCAAACATAATAAAAACGTGCCCTCTCCAAGTCTACCCCGGAAATCCAACCGCCGGCGCCAGGCCACTAGCGTCCGAAGCGCCCTGCGCCCACCTCTTCGATGTAGGCCGGCGGGTCCCGCTTAATCAGATTCTGTAACTGCGGCAAGTTGCTGGGCAGCTTGTTGTTGTGTCTGCTGGACATGTTGGCTGTAGGTTGGCTCCTCGCGTAGTAATTCTAGAAAAACTTGCATCCAGCTGCGACTGGCACTCTGGTTGCCGAGCCCAGCCGGAAACAGCACGTGGGACCCTCAGCAAGAAGCGCCATATTGACTTCTAAACGAGCTACGGAAGCCTGCAAGTGTCAAACTGACTCGCACAGCCTGAACGCGCTGAGAGGTTTATACGCGACCGGCACTCCCCATGAGCAGTTACTGAAACTTGCATTTGTGCAACGATAGGCGATGTAAAGTTTGGGGATTTTTTTTTTTTTTGCCATTAATTCATATGAACTTCTTTCATCATCCCAACCTTCTTACAAGAGAGAATTGTATTCTGAGGTGGGATTTTGTTTTGTTTTGTTTATAGTAATGGGAATCGAACGCAGGACCTCATACTTAATCAGGCAGGCTTTGTGCCACTGAGCTAAGTTTCCGGCCCTCAACCTTCTTATGAGACAGATGGTTGTGTGTGATTTTAAATATTTGCTTTTATTTTGTTTTTAACTAACTCATTGTGACCTGAATAAAGAAAAAGAGTGTGCTGGATGAATTGTAATCCTATTAAGCCAGTAAGAAATGCAAATAAATTAAACTATGGTTAAACCTTTCGACACATTATTTATTCAGGGTTTTAGTTCACAGCCTGGTAATTCGAAGAGGCAAATGAGTTTCTACAATCTATCGATGTTCCATGTTCGAAGATAAATATTGATTGGTTGAATGAATTAACTGATAATTGTTTACCCAAAAAAATACATGATCACCTATTGCATGGTAGGTATTGTTCAAAGATTTTCATTTATACTAATCTGTTTAACCTTGAGAACAGCCTTCTAAAATAGGCAGAATTACTAACTCCATTCTACAGATAAGAAAACAAGCGCAGAGAGGTTGACTTTCCCAAGCATACAGATGTTGTAAAAGCTGGTATTTCACAGGGCCTGGTGGTAAAGCCCTGAAATTAAAGTAATCAGGAGGCTGAGACCTGGTCACTTTGAGTTACAGGCCGCAAAAAGAAACCTTGACTCAGGAAACAAAAACAAAACAAAACCAAAAACCAAAAAACTGGGGCCCAATCAAGGTGATCTTTCGTTTGTTTGATTTGGTTTGATTTGTTTGTTTTTACTTTGTGGGTGCATTTGCTTTTTTAAATTTTGGTTTGGTTTGACTTTTTTCTTTTCTTTTATTATTATTATTATTATTATTATTATTGTTTTTGTTTTTGTTTTTGTTTGAGACCGAGTCTTGCTTTGTGGTTCAGGCTGTGCTTGAACTCATTATGTAGGCTAGCCGACCTTAAGCTCTATCAACCCTTTCACTTCACCCTCCCAAATGCTCTGACTGTAGGCGTGGGCCACCACCCCATGACAGGCACTATAGCTTAACTATAAAAGAAAGAAAAGAGGTAGCCTGAAGGCTGTCTGGTAACTAACAAGACCTTGGTGTTCACCTGCTTGACCTACACAGTTTCAGAGAATACCTGCAGCTGACAGAATAAAATCAAATCCAGGCAACTCTAAAGAACACTTCAGCTGGGTGTGGTGGCACACATCTGTAATCCCAGCACCGGAGAGGCTAAAGCAGGAGGATCATTTCAAGTTTGAACCATGCTGAGCTACACTGTGAGTTCAAGGCCAGCTTGAACTACCTAGCAAAGCCCTGTCTCAAAAAGACCAGATAAATAAATAAAGATAAAAAGAAAGAAAGAGATAGGAATACTTCAGAAACCGTATGTTATTTAGTTCCATTTTGAGAATAACAATTTTATTAATTATTGAATCAAGTACTTGTGAAATTATTAAAAAGTATAAGTAAGCAATACTCTTTTTTAAAAATCTGTTTATAAGCATTCTTAACTAAATGAAAAGGGAGTGAAATTATCCCACGTATAATATCTGATCGTGGCACACTAAAATTGGAAATCAATGGTGGAAAAACTGCACAAGCTGCATAAATGCACGGAAATTAAATTACAACCTTGTGAATAATCAGTGAATTATAGATGAAATTAAGAAATAAAACAATACCTACAATACAATGAAAATGCAGATACAACATACTGTAACCTATGGGGCGCAATGAAAGCAGTCCTAAGAGGAAAATATTTAGCAATAAATAGTCACATCGAGAAAATGGAACAAACACAAATAAATAACCTAATGCTACATCTCAAACTTTTAGAAAAAGAAGAGTAAATCAAACCCAAAATTCATAGAAGAGAGGAATTATAAAGATTAGAGCAGGGGCTGGGGATTTAGCTCAGCGGCATAAGCGCCTGTCTTGTAAGCAGTCAATCGTGAGTTCAATCCCTGGTACCGATAAAAAAGGAAAAAGACCAAAAAAAAAAAATTTAAGATTAGAGCAGAAATTAATGCAATTGAAACTAAAAAAAAATACAAAGAATTAATGAATCAAAGAGCTGGTTTTTTGGGAGAATAAACAAAATTGATATACCTCTGGCTAACCTTAAAACAAAAAACTCAATAAGGACTGAAAAGAAGGAAATTACTACAGATCCCATGAAAATCCAAAAGATCATGAACACCTACTTTGAAAATCTCTACTCACATAGGGTGGAAAATACAGAGGAAATGGACAGATTTCTAGGAGCATATGAACTACCAAAGCTCAATCAAGAATATATAACGATTTTGAATAACCCAATATCATCTACTGAAATCAGAAATATGATTAAAAACTTACCAACAAGGAAAAGCCCAGGTCCTGATGGATTTGCAGCTGAATTCTATAAGAAATTTAGAGGAGATATAATGCCATTCCCCCTTAAACTCTTCAATGAAATTGAAAGAGAAGCAGTCCTCCCTAACTCATTTTTGGAGGCAAGTATCACTCTGGTATCAAAACCAGAGAAAGACCCAACCAAAAAGCAGAACTATAGACCAACCTCACTAATAAACATTGATGCAAAGATTCTCAATAAAACATTGACAAATAGAGTGCAACAAATCATTAAGAAGATTATACACCATGACCAACTGGGGTTTATTCCAGGAATGCAGGGATGGTTCACTATACACAAATCAATAAATGTAATACACCACATCAACAGAGCCAAAAATGAAAATCATGTGATCATCTCAATAGTTGCAGAAAAAGCTTTCAATAAAGTCCAACACTTTTTCATGATGAAGACCCTACAGAAACTCAGAATAGTCGGTATACCTCAATCTCATAAAAGCCATCTATAACAAACCAACAACCAACATTATACTAAATGGACAAAAACTAAAAGCCTTCACTCTAAATTCAAGAACAAAACAAGGATGTCCACTATCACCACTCCTATTCAATATAGTTCTGGAAATATTAGCCAGAGCAATCAGACAAGAGGGAAAAATAAAAGGAATAAAAATAGGAAAAGAAGAAGTTAAATTATCATGATTTGCAGATGACTTGATACTCTACATAGAAGACCCCAAAAACTCTATTAAAAGACTACTAGAGGTAATAAATTCAGCAGCATAGCTGGTTACAAAATCAACACTCAAAAATCAATAGCATTCCTGTACACAAACAAAAAACTCACTGAGAGAGATATTATGGCAATGTTGCCTTTCACAATAGCATCTAAAAAAATGAGATACCTAGGAATCAACTTAACTAAGAATGCAAAAGAACTATATGCTGAAAATTATACTACTCTAAAAAAGGAAATTGAAGAGGAGTAGAAAATGGAAGGATATTCCTTGCTCTTGTTGGTTAGGAAGAACCAACATTGTGAAAATGGCCAGACTCCCAAAACTGTTTTACAGATTCAATGCAATCCCAATCAAAATACCATTAATATGCCTTACAGATCTAGAGAAAATAGTCCTAAAATTCATCTGGAAACAAAAGAAACCGAGAATAGATAGCAAAGGTGATTCTGGGCAACAAAGACAAGACAGGTGGCATCTCAATTCCTGACTTGAAACTATACTACAAAGTCACAGTAATAAAATCAGCATGGTACTGGCAAAGAAATAGACTTGAGGATCAATGGAACAGATTAGAAGATGCAAACACTACTACAAAGACACTCGGTCTTATATTTGACAAAGGGGCTAAACATGTTCACTGGGAAAAAAATAGCCTCTTTAATAAATGGTGTTGGAAAAATTGGCTCTACACATGCTGAAGACTGAAAATAGACCCATGCATATCACCATACACTAAACTAAAGTCAAAATGGATCAAGAAACTAAAACAGAAACACTAACTCTACTGGAGGACAAGGTAGGTAAAAATCTTGGAGACATAGGAGTAGGCAGAGAATTCATGAATAAAATGCAAACCCCACAGGAAATACTTCAAAGAATCAACAACTGGGATTTCATATTACTAAAAAGTTTTTACACTTCAAAAGAAATCACCAACAAAGTGAAAAGAAAGCCCACAGAATGGGAAAGAATTTTAGCCAACAATCCCTTAGACAAAGGACTTATATCCAGAACATATAAAGAACTGAAAAACAACAAGCCCCCCAAATTCAAAGACTCTCTCCTAAAATGGGCATCTGTGATGAACACACAGTTCTCAGATAAAGATATACAAATAACAAATAAATATATGAAGAAATGTTCACAATCATTGGTCATTTGAGAAATGCAAATTAAAATAGCATTGAGATTTCATCTCACTCCATGAAAGAATGGCTGCCATCAAGAAATCAACTGTTAACAAATGTTGGCGAGGATGCAGGGGGAAAAAGAATCACTTCTCCACTGTTGGTGGGAGTGCAGATTGGTGCAACCACTGTGGAAATCAGTATGGAGATTCCTCAAAAAACTAGGATTGGAAGTTCTATTCAATCCAGCTATGCCTCTCCTGAGTATTTTCCCAGAAAAATTGAAAAAATCAGGTCACAGACATATATGTGCACCCATGTTTATAGCAGCACAATTTGTAATAGCTAAATCTTAGAAACAACCAAAATGCCCATCAACCACAGACTGAATGAAAAGATGTGGCATTTTTATACAATGGAATACTATTTAGCTATTAAAAAGAATGATCTTGAGGCCTTTATAGGTATATGGAGGCAACTTGAAAATATCCTCCTTAGTGAAATAAACAAGACTTACATTAGTAAATATTTCACTGTCTCTCTAGTGTAAAAAATAATAAGAG